AAGCGAGCATATCAACTAAACGGATTACGCCAAAAAGCTTCAGTCGCACATCTGTGGTACGGAAACCGATATATTATTATTATATTATTATTATTGTAATTCGCCGTGCGCTGCACGATAAACATTTATAAAAACGGAAATATCTCGGCGAATGGCGTAGGCACCTCCTATAATATATTATCTACAATAATAACAGTATACGCTGTGGTGAAAAAAAATTACAATTTAAGCGAAAAAATAATCCGATTCCCGAACGATCGCACGCTATTGTATCGCGACGATAAAGACAACTAGAGCAGAATCCCGGCACGCTGTGTTCAAAACAATAAATCAAATTCTGAAAAACCATTTACGTCGTCTTCGAATATCAAATTATATTCAAAAAATAAAATGTATATGAGTAATATAAATATATATATATATTGTGTACGCTATGTATATATAATATAATATTATGTAATATATAGCGAGGAACAAGACGGAACGCAATGCCGTACGAAAAATTCTAAAATACAATCAAACAGTATTCTCTCTCGTCTCGAATAATTTAAGCGGTTTTCCGACGAAATTCGAAGGAACAACGGCGGCGCCCTCCTCTGTGTGCTATATGCGCCGATGCGGCTATACTATTATGGTAATTGTTTTTATTTGCGTCGAAAACAATACCGTGCCACACCACGACAACATAATCATAATATTAATCGAAATACTATTAGGTATTATGTTATATTATTATTATGGTTTGGCCGATCGAAATTAAACAACTATACTGTGGGAGAAAAGGGTGGGAAACAGTTTCTTGTAGTATGTAATATACACATAATATAATTATGCTCTTTAGCTCAAATCTTGGAAAAGTGCACGAAGATCTGCTAAGTCCCACATCTCCAGATCAAGTCTTCATCGATTAGGCATATTAAGTACTAAATAAATATTGATATTTTCTACAATTTTGAAATTGAACCCAATAAAATTATAAAATATTTAATATTAATGGAAAAAATAACCACAATACGGCCACAGCAATAAATTTTATGATGGTTATATTATAAACAGTATAATAATATTTTACCACAGACAATCGAAATCAAGATCTGAAACATTTGGACTATAACATAATTTGTACATTGATTCCTGTACTTGCATTTTTTTCGCAACTAGTACTTTCAAAGTCTTCAAAAAATTATTAATTTTTATAACAACGATAAACTCAAAAACTATCTATATACATATAGCTTCGTGGATATTATGCACAATCACGGCGACGTAGTCCAATCAGTGAAGGCTAAAACTTTTTCAGTTTTTTCAATCGCTCCGAAAAGTGTTTGTCGAAAAGAATAAGAGATCGAGAACTCCTACACACACACACACACAACGTGAGTACTCCCTCGCTCCGATCCGACGACTCTAAAACCATAAAACATAGCCTTCAGAAATATAGAAAACTGTATTTTATTTTATTGTCATTATACGTGATATATTAGGTATGCGTGTTCAGTCCTACGAGTTATGGTCACAAATAATAATAACAATATCAATGGCATAAAAAAATAAGAACCAACAAAAAAAACTCGAAATATCGATGACCGTGGAAAAAAAATTATCCAATGAAAAAGGACGATTATTACATAATATATATTATAGAGACTCCGGACTCCTTAATCCTTTCCGTTTTACTTTCGTATGTCACTACTGCTGTCTTGCCTGCCTTTGCAACCGCGTGTCGTTCAAAATTATACCTTTACGTAGCCGACCGACGATGGTTTCTTCCTTGCTCTGAACATTGAGTAGTATTCCGGATTATGCGGACTAAACCGTTTTATGGGAAAATGCGAGCGAAAAAAAAATATATATTGCCTTTAAAACAAGTGTATCGATTTTCATCGTCTCCAATCTATAATTCCCGGGGAGCTGGGTATACGTACGTATATAATATTATAATACGGGATCAAGTTTATGACCGCATTGGAAAAAATAATAAAATCACCCTTTTCGTTAACGTCCGAATAAAAGTCGAACGTCAAAAAAATTGTAATCTTAATTTTTACGTTTTAAACCTACTCGGGGACACGTCGTAATGAAATAAAACTATAATGGGCATTCGTATACTATATTAATATGTTGATGGTTTTAAAAACATACTACCTGTGTGTAATATTGCAATTGGCCCGACTGCGACACTATACCCGTAATAACTTTCAAGAGAAATAAGTCTGCACGTGACCGCTATGAAACGATGACTTATGTTATGCGCCATTAAAAACGTATGTCACGTGACCTGATGACGACGGATACTAATAATTTAGAACTTGTCGTAGGTATTTTATATTAATGCATTTCAATAATGCAAAATGCAATTATTATTACGGTGACGCGGCGTCATGGATAGGCAATTCTGCTACAACGCCTAAAGAATATAATAATATAATATTATTGTTGGGTCCGTGTTACTCCGTTCTGTCGTGAAGACGTATTCTTTCGAAAAGCAATAAATTCAGTAATGAAGCAAATTACACAATAATATAATATCACACTCTGTAGCCATTTTCTATTATTTTATAAGAATATATTATTCTAACGGTAGAAGATATCCGAACTAGGCTGATAGCCGCACGCATTACATTTCGGAATATTTTTTTTTTTTTTATTTAATAATATTATCAAAAACAAAACGAACAGACATGTTACTATAGCCAAGTCCCGGATCACGATTATATTATAATTGAATTTAGAATCCAAGAGAAAAGAGATATTATAATATATTCGGAATGGACCAAAAAGAGAACGGTCGAGATTATGTTATTATAATAATAATTTTGTTGTCATGTAAGTGTGTGCGCGTATTCGGAAATATATTATACCTGCGGGCGCGGTATAATAGTAGGCCTGCGTCACGGACTAAGATATACAGGACTGGTATCGACATGGCCGGGGGTAGTAGAAGGCCGGTCCTCAAATGTTTCTAATGGTACAGGTGTGGTTACTAGCGCATTCTAGTAGCGTATATTGGCAACGTACTAAAATAATTATTTTTGAAATAATAATATATTAATATATTTATTGAAATTGTATTTATGAAACCTAATATAGTGGTTACTGGCTATTATATTTTGTAGACGTATCATCAGACTTAGTTGACTGTCGTAACGTTGGTTTGTGGTTCATCTTATTTTAAAATGCCTCGTCAATGTTCGGTGATTTCGTGCTCGAGTATTAAAAGCAAACAAGCTGTTCATTTGTTTAAAGTTCGAGACTCAGATTTTTATGCTTGGAACGAAATTATTCGAAAAGTAAATGGTAATTCAAATCGTAAAGTGGTTTATGTCTGTGCTGAGCACTTTTCTAATGATGATTTGATAACTCATTATAATGGACCTAATGATTTGGAAAAAGTAAAATTAAGAATTTTACATAATATTTGAATATGTTTAAATTGTAATATTTTGTATTTCTGTAACATAATTATTAACCACCTATAGGTTAAAAGACATTTGGTTGGGTTAAGAAAGGGAGCTATTCCATCAATATTTGATACATCAATTGATATCACTGAAAACTATAATACTGTAACTCCTGATTTACCAGACCCATCTGGAAAAAGTACATTAACTACTGAACCATTTAGAAAACAGTTGTTTAGTGAACCTATTGCTAAACGAATATGTCTTAGTTCACAGATCCCAATACAAGTTTGTTAATGAATTATGATTATTTCACCCAAAAATAGTCTGTCTATATAGAACTATAGACTACTGTATGAATTTTAATACTCATAAGCACTAATTAACTATTGTTATTTATTTAGGAAACATTTACCAGTTATGAGGAATTATTAATGCCAGTTGGTTGGATGTTGTACCGTGATGAATGTATAGTGTCATTGTATAAACCAATTAAATCTGAATGTGGTAGTGAAATGAAAGTGGTCATTCAGAAACAAATTGTTTTTCAATCTAATATTTTTAAAATAAGCTATTATGTCAATCAAAAATGTAGAGATCCTAAAGTGTTAGGTCTATCACAATTGACATACCCATTAGATTTTATGAAAATTAATGAAACTATTAAATTGTTTGAACAGAAACAAATTTGTCAAGGTGGTCCAAGTGTCATCAATTTTCCTGGTACCTATATATTTCTAATTGCTTAATTAATAATTAATATGTTTCTACATAATCTTAAATTAAACATTTTGTATTTAGGAATTCATATTAAAAACACTAATTTAGACGGTTCAATATGGCGCCATAACGAATGTTCAATTCTTACTAATTCTACAAAAAGATGTCAACGATGTAATTTATTATTTCCTTATTTTAGGGTATATAGAAAAAGGTTATCTATTAGAAATAAAACATATGTTGGCTCTACTCTGACTCCTACTAGACGGAGTATATTAAAACAAATTTTAAGAAAAACAAAAATGGTTAAACAATCCAATAAAAGGTGAAAAAGTGTGAAAGAAAATAATATTTACAATAACTATGCATTCACCATATTTGTTTATTAAAGGTTTAAAATAAGAGTAGAACAATTGAATGTAACATTGAATGAAGTACAATGTAAATCAAAAAATTTGACAAATGAATCTGTAGCTGATTTATTTGAAAGTAACAACTTGAATACATCACAGAAAACAATTATTCAAGAAATTATCAATGCCAGTAAAGTCATGAACACTAAAAATAGGAGGTATTCGGAAAATTGGATACTATTATGCATCTTATTGAAAATTAGGTGAATAATTTACCATTTAAGATAATATTAATTAATGACTACCTAACATTATTTTTTTTTTTCACGTTGATAGATCTTTCACTACTTACCGATTTTTAAGAGAACAAGAAGTATTACCTCTACCATGTCCAAGAACTATTAGAAAATATTTATCAATGATAAACATTCAATGTGGTTTTGACAAGAAATTTTTCCAAATATTAAAAAAAAAAATTGGTATACTTAGATCTGAACAAAAACATGGTATGTTAGTTTACGATGAAATGTTTTTAAGAGAAAGTCTTAATGTAAACTCTCAGACTCTCACTTATTGTGGATTGGAAGATTTTGGCGGAGAAGTAGATTCTTCTGAATTAAAAGCTAATCATGCATTAGTTTTTATGTTCCAAAGTTTAGCTCTAAATTTTACTCAACCTATTGCAGTTTTTGCATCTCATGGTCCAGTTAAAGGTATTAAAATTGAAATACTGTAATCGTGTTATTTGTTTATCAGATCACTAATAATATTGTTTTGACAAACTAATAATAATATAATAAACAACCAAAAAACATCAGTATAATATTTAACTTCATGATTTAATTGTATATGCTTTATTTTATGTGTTAGATGTTAGTTGTATGTTACTGTGGACTGCGGTAGGTATATACATTTTAATGTTTTTAAATATTAGGAACTGTATGTAGTTAATTATTGAATGTTGCATGATTTTAATATACAGTCTTAATATATTGTAATAATATCTATGTTATAATGGTATATTTCTAGATTATAGGTATTTTGCTCTTCGTTTTATTTGTGTGTTTCTATATGGTAAATTAATTTGTGTTCCATGATTTGAATGTCCAGTTTCATATATATTATGTATTGTGTGTACATACTACATGTATATACAATAATATACAAATTAAGTGTTGTACTTTTATGTTTTATTTGTAAGTTATAAATATTATTGTCATTTATAATCTATTATATTTTTTTGATTCAATATTTATTAATTTATCATAGGTTTGGTTTTGGCCCAATTGGTCATTAAAGCAATATGCTTGTTGGAAAATATTGGATGTAGAGTTGAAGGTGTGGTTTCAGATGGGGCTTCAACCAACCGAAAATTATGGGTCGAACTTGGTATAAGTGGTCAAAAGGATAATGTGTCTAATTCATTCCAAAACCCCTTAGACCCTAAACGACAAATTTTTATGTTTGCCGATGCTCCCCATCTCATAAAAAATGTTAGAAACAGACTCTATAATAAAAAGAGTTTAAGGGTAAATACAATTATAAGGTTTCTTATAATTTCTTTAAATAATACTTACATTAAACTTCTAGGAATCTCCCGAAAAGGCATTTATAAGATGGTCTCATTATCAAGATGTCTACAATAATGATGTAAATAGAAATTTAAATTCTCCAACAAGGGTCTGTCCTAAAATTTCATTAAGGCACATAGAAGTTGATGGGTTTAGTAAAATGAGTGTCAAGTTAGCAACTCAGGTAAATTTATATTAGAAAAATATATTTGTCATTATCAACTATTACTTTTTTCTAGATTTTTAGTGATTCTATGGCCAAGGGCATAGAATTCTACAGAGAGTATGTTGGAATTGAATCTTTAAAAAATAGTTATGAAACACAAATTTTTACTGACCGTTTCAATAAACTTTTTGATGTATTTAATAGAAAGCACCCTGGAGAAGGAATAAAAAAAAATAGTCTTGATTTTCAGGTACATTTGGCTGTAATTAAAATATATTATTATTTCACTATGATTTTTTTGATTTTTTGCACCAGGTGTTAGAAGATAATCTAGTTTGGTTAAACCGTTGGGAAGAACAAGTAGAAACTAAAAAAATAACCAAAGATGAATATTTGACTCAAAACACTGCTGATGGATTACGTGTTACCATTAAATCAACATTAGAACTGACAAAATATCTTTTAGATAAATGTGGATTTAAATATGTTCTAACCTGCAAAACGAATCAAGATCGTGTAGAGGTAAGTATATAATTAAGTAAAGAGGTATCTACTATAGTACTATACATATTACATATAATGATTATAATGTAGATATTAAATTGTATTTGTTTATAGCAATTTTTTGGTATGACTAGACAGGCTTCTGGACCTAATGAGCACCCTAGTACACCCACATTTCTCCAAGTGTATAAAATGTTATCTATCTATTCTTTATTAAAACCACCAAAAACTGGAAATTGTAAAGTTTTAGAGCAAAATACACAACAAACAATTACAATTAATGATTTTAAGTCTACTATAAATATTGAGAATGTTTCAGAGAGAATTGAAAAAATTGAAACCTTAAAAAAAAAACTTGACTCCTTAATAATAAATGATGTAGATGTAGATGATATATTTGATGGTAATATACATAATTATTACAAGGCAAATGTTGAAGACTGTGTGTTATATTATATTTGTGGCTATATCACTAAAAATCTCACAAAGCAAATAAAATGTAAAGATTGCCTTACTGTAATAACTGGTAAGTACTTATACAAAAATACATCTTTCCTATAAACAAATTACAATAAACTAAATTTAAATAGCATTTTGATAATAACAATTTATTTTCAGGTAAAAAAACGTACTCCGATAAACCTGAAGCTACATTTCTCAATATAAAATCACGGGGAGGTTTGACTTATCCAAATGAATTCATTTTTAGATTGTTGACGGCAGTCGAAAATTCATTTGCAAAACATTGCGAAAATAATAATGTTTTTTTATTAACAATTGATGACTTTTTCAATAATAATAAGTCTATTGGTTTCCCTTGCAAAATACACAAGAAAGAAGTCCTGTCACACATTATTTCAAATTTTATAATTATGAGGATGAGACAGTATTCCCTAATTAATAATAAAAATAAACCAAAAATGAATGCAAAAAAAAAAAAGTTTGCTAAATTGGTTAACACTTAATGTTTATAATATTTAAATGTTGTAATACCTATTAATAGGTAAACAAATACACAATCTACAATTTTATTTCATTTCTATTATCTTAATAAAATAAACTAAGTTAGGTAATGTTTATCTATATTTTATTATATTGCTAATTTGTTTTACCTATTTAATTTTATTACAATTCACTAATATTCTTTTTTTTTTCATAAAATAATATACACTGTTGGTTTTTTATATAATTAATATATTTATCTAATATCTATGTAATATGTATATATTTTTAAAAATAAAGTTTGTTTTAATAAAGTAATATTTTTGGAAGTTGTTATATTATCCCGTAATAATACCAATCGGTAAAAGTATGGTCTTACAGTATTTAGTCAAGGCAGTTTTTAGATAATAAATATTATTAATTTAAGTCATAAAAAACCTTAAATTTTAAGTACAATGCATTTAATATCATACAAATACCTTATTAATTCTAATAGTTTCATCTCTACATTATGCATATCAATTATTAATATGTCTATGATCTCTACCTACATAATATGATCATTTATGTTATGAAATATCAACATTTTTCAAACTTTAAATTACTTCAGTAATTTGTACTAAGTAGTAAGCACTAAGCATTAAATAATTATACCCTTAGTCATTAAAATAACTTATATTAATTTTAAAGAAAATATCAAATTTAATAACTGCAAAAAGTTAGCCGGTGTAGATTGTACAATGAATATTATGATTAATGTGTAATTTCTAAAATAGATGGCGCTAGGTACTACACTTGTACCTTTGGAAACATTTAGGGATCGCTGATAATGTTTTCGATACCAGTCCTGTATATCTTAGTCCGTGGCCTGCGTATAGCACCCCTCGCACGAAATCGGTTACCACGGTAAAGAAAAATATATAATAACACGATATATTTTGTCACGCGACCATTGTCGCGTAGTTGTTGTTGTGGTTATTTTTTTTACCCCAAACTTTGGTTGCGATTTCGCCATTTCCCCTCCCCCCTCCTCCTATGTGCAGTGCGTGAGTGTGTGACGAAGACGTGGTCGTAATTATTCGTTTTTCTAGGTAGGTAATTTATTAGTTGTTGATTAATTACTACAATCTCGAAAAGTGGACGTGGACCGGTCGGGGAGGGGATGACAAATTAAGGGTTCAGACCCTTTGGCGAGCGGCGTGTATATGCGTGAGCTCGCGTATTTATACGTGATGTATCCGAAACTGCCGAGATAAAGTCACCGATTTAGAAAACGGTAGTCAGACAGACGAAAAACAAGCCTCCTCGCAAAATAAAAGTCGAGTACTGCAATTACAGGCCCCAGGGCTTTTCTGCACTATTGTGTGGAGTTCACTCGTTCGTTTCCCGCACACATCGTTTATAATAATATTACAATGTCATACGGGATAAATTTCCAAGCATTTTTTTGCCCCATTTTTCTTCATAATTTTTTTTTTTTTATTGATCTTTAAAGCCCGGCGACTATAGCCATTAGCTCATATTGTGGGGTTTTATGATTGTAGGTAGTAGGGTTTGTTGTAATGGTAGGGTTTTTACACACGTGTGTTGTGTTTGGCAGAAATTTTGGTTGGCACCCGTAGGTATCTTCCATGTCGGTGTGGGGGATGGCGGCACTTGTTCTCCGGACACCGTCCGGACTTGTCCGAAAAAAAAATGCCACCCGTAGCCAAGGAATCGAACTCGGATTCTCGGGTCGCTCGGTCACTCCGTCCTCCTATTTATAATTGATTTGCTCACATTTTGATGTTTGGAATATTGATAAATATACTAATACCGTATTTCAAAATATAGTTTTTATTCTTATACGATTTAAGAGGAGTGTCATGGACGGACACCGATATAAAACCGGATAAATTATTAATATAAACATTATAATAACAGATAAACCTATTCGTTCAAATTTTGAATTAGGTTAAAAATATTATACCCACTAAACAATTTACGGTAAAAATGTAGGGGGATCTCGTTGACAAAACAGAAATTTGTATCGCCACAGGACACTCTTAAGTAGAACTAAATTGTTGAACTAAATCAATAATTCTAAAATATGGTCTTCACAGTATATTTACAAATTCCAAAAATGAGAATTTTGAAAATTCATTATTAAAGGAAAAAATATGATAAGCACTAAGCATGCTTGTTGAATAACCCTGTATATTATATTATTTTTACAGTTTTAAAAACTATAAATTAAATTAGTTTGTTCCTACCTAACGTTAGTAATTAATTATAGTTTGTGATTATGTACACCGCGTAATAATTTCCACTATAATCGTAATTAATACTGTCTGGTATTTCAAAAGCAGAAATTTCATATTAAATATAAAAACAAAATAAATATTTATTTTTTTTAAGCACACATTGCGTGAGGTAAATAAAAACATCATCAGAGATGTAAATTCATAAAAAATCTCTGAAAAAAATCGTCTACGTAGGTTCTGTTTGATAGAAATCGGTTAGATATTTTTAGTCACATATTGTATACACCTACCTACCGTTATGGAGAAGGTTCTGTATATTTATTAGAATCGCGAACAGTGATGCCGAATACGAGCACTGCATCGCCGCTCGTTATTCATATTAAATCCTAATAATTTTCCACGTTCTTCTCGTCTACTTAGATGTTCAAATTAATTCTTTGACATACGAGCAGAGGCCATATTATGTATTATAATATGTTATTGTTGTCGCTCAGACCACCGGATAGGTATGGAGAAGCAGCTGTTCACGGCCCGTGATTTCGCAATTAAAATGCAGCCGCGTATTTTACTGATGCAACTTTTAACTCTCGTGCGCAGTCATGGTGCTTTATTTCTTTTATCAATTCCAGTAAAAAGGCGATTTATTGTCGTTATTAAATAACACTGAAATGCGACGTCATTTCTACGAAAATGTTTGTCCGTCTCGGGGAAAACAAAATTTAAAAACGTAATAATTTACAAAACAACTATATACGAAAAGGGGTCAACTCGAGATTTATGGACGGACCCAAACGACATTAGTCGTTTGGAAAAACCGTGTTATTATTATTATTTTTTCCGTCGGAATCACATCCAACCGCGTGCTTTGCATGCTCGCACAAATAATCTATACCTGTATTTTGTAATAATTATTAACAGTATAGCTATATTTTTATATCTGTTCTCCGCTTCCAGCCCCGACCCCCTCTCCACCGCCCGGGGATAGGTTATAATGGGTTCCTTGATTTTCCCCCGTACACGGTGTACATAATATCATATCCTTTATATTAATTTACTCGCAGTTCACCCGCGTCGGAGTGTTGAATTTCTGAAATAAAATTGTCGACCTGCAGACTTTTTGCAGAATTTTAATATAATCTACTCTTCAGAACTACAGCTGCTATTAACCGTCACTGCACCAGCAGCTGCAGCTGTCTCGTGATATTACAATTTTACCTCTGGTCTGCAGCCAGCATAAAATATAATCGTACACCGTCGTACACTCTCATACACCTACAGGGTGATTGATTTAGCGTAAAACACTCATTATCTCAAAAAGTATTAATGTTTTTGAAAATATTGTTTTAAATAGTTTCAAGTTGTTAAAAAAACAACGTTTTCATTAAAAAATTATATTTTTAAATATTTTTTATCCTTATAGTTTTTTAAGTTTTTTACTTTTTTGAATGACAGCATAGAGTTTCAATTTCATATTCCAAAGCAGAATATTTTTCTAAGTATTTTGATACATAAAAATCGAACTTAGGACGAGTAGTTTATGAGTTATAAGTATTTCCAGTTTAGATTGGCGGTGTAGTGGATAAACATTTTGCGGGGTAACCCCATACCACTCCACTCCGCTCATCTAAACTTAAAATACTTATAAGTTATAACTCATAAACTACTCGTCCTAAGTTTGATTTTTATGTATCAAAATACTAAGAAAAATATTCTGCTTTGGAATATGAAATTAAAACTCTATGCTGTCATTCAAAAAAGTAAAAAACTTAAAAAATTATAAGGATAAAAAATATTTAAAAATATAATTTTTTAATGAAAACGTTGTTTTTTTAACAACTTGAAACTATGTAAAAAAATATTTTCAAAAACATTAATAATTTTTGAGATAATGAGTGTTTTACGCTTAATGAATCACCTTGTATATTTACTAATACAAAACAAATAATCGCTTTCGAATTCCTCAAAAAACGATTATATGTCACACAGGTGCTGTATACAGGTGTACCAGGTATATTATAATATTATATAATATTATTATACTATCGCACATTTGATACGAAACGATTCGCGCCCCGAATCTCGTATTTTTTTTTGTTGTTTTATGGAGCGCGTTTAGTAATGTTTTATTACACCGTGTATATGCGGAAAGTTTTGAAAACCGATTTTATTATTTATATTTTATTATCGCGGAGACACGGCGCATACATTTTTGATTACCCGCGACTGCGTGTCGGATAAACGAGATACTATTAAACAGCAACACATTTTGCACGTTCTCTTCCGGTTTAATATTATAAATGGTTTTACCACGCACAATATAACGCTCGCGCGTACGTATATAACAATACGCATGTGTATGCGTTACTAAAATGTCATTATCAAAACGCTAAACGGTTATATTATTCAAACGTAAAAGTCCAATTTAATAAACGGAAAACTGCTGCGGTGGCAACCCCAATGCCTGCTGTGCTCGGCGGTCTCGACGAATAAAATAAAACTGTGTCCTCGATATAATATAATAATACAGTTGATAGTATTAATATAATATTATTGTTGTATTATGAGATGCGCCTAAATAAAAATACGCGTAGGTACCAGCCAGGGTATGACGTATGTTAGCAGTGGCGTCCGCAGGGGGGGGGGGGGGCTAAAGGGCTGAAGCCCCCCCCCCATTGCCCGTATTATTGTTACTTTTTCAAAAAAATATTAATCAAGTTAAACTGTCAACTTTAGTAAGCAAGAAGTAAATTTCATATATGTATATCTTACCAGAATGAATT